TGAGAACTTTTGTCTCCTCACATGGCACCTGCGATGTTAAACTCTCTCTGTTATAACCCCAGCTTAGTATATTGGCTTCCTCTGGAGTAGAAGGCAACGAACCTGGTAAGGCGGTAACACCCTTAGGTCAGAGACCTCAGAGAGACCATGACTATCATTGGAACACCATGATAAGCATGGAAAAGCTATTTCACAGCTTTTTCTGGACAGCGTCAATTTTATTTCCCTTTTTATGAGTTAATGAAAACCAATTGAGAACAATCTCCTTTTACTTTGTCTGTCTTTCCTGTCTGCCTTCTCCTTAAAAACACATGTGTGATAGGGAGAGTAATGGAGTCCCCTGAAGAAAACCAAAATATTTCACCCCCCCAAATTGCTGAGTTAAATAATCAACCCACAAGGTCTTTGTGTTTCTCCCAAAGCACAGGATAAGGCTGTTCTCTGAAAATTCAGTGGTTCCCTTATCTACCTAGAAACTTGACCTCCAAAGACACACACAACAACCTTCCATCCCCTCCCTGAAATCCCATTATCTATGGCAGGAAAAAAAAAAAAAAAAACGGGAATGCCACATCTGGATAGACTTCATCACAAGATGATTCCCGCTTTTCTAGCTCATTCAAATTCCAAAGAGAAAAAATAAATAATTTTTAAAATTCCAAGGGTTAGGGTACTGACATGTCGGAGGTGGTGGGTTCAAACCCAGCCCTGGCCAAAAAAAAATAAATAAATAAATAGGTCCAAGGAGAATCATATGCAAGTTAACATCTATTTCTTGGGTCTATTCATTGTCTCTAAAAATCATTTGCTACTCCTCAAAAGAATTCTCTACATTCCTCACCTTACCCTTCCTCTGTGAAGCAGGTATATGAGATTCTGTACCCTATTGGGTGGCTGGGTAATCATTCTGTGAATCCTGTGTTCTATGCATGTTAAATGTTGTAAGCCTCTGGAGAAAGAAAAAACTTTTATCTAGCCCCTTTAAATGATCAAGCCCCAAAAGGCATTTAAAATATAACAGCAGTATGTCTCAGTCTTCCGTGAGCTAATTAACTCTTGAAGTCCCTTTCCACGTGGACTAGCTGGACTTTGGACTAACTGAGGTCAAGTTTCCATAAAATGACTCACCCTATAGTCCAACCATGTATAGCCAATCACTAACAAATGTTATTTCTACAAGCCAATGAGAATTTCTGATGAATAACTCTTATAATTTCCTCCTCTTCTGATTTGTCCTGTTTTTCTGTAAAAACTTGAGTCTTAAATCAAACTGATTATAATAAAAATTTAATTTAAAAAATTCAACCTCAGCTCAGTGCCTGTAGCTCAGCAGCTAGGGCACCAGCCACATACATTGGAGCTGGTGGGTTCAAACCCAGACCGAACCTGCCAAACAACAATGACAACTACAAAAAAAAATAGCTGGGTGTTGTGCAGGGCACCTGTAGTCCCACTACTTGGGAGGCTGGGATAAGAGAATCACTTAAGCACAAGAATTTGAGGTTGCTGTGAGCTGTGACGCCCCAGCACTCTATCCAGGACAACATAGTGAGACTCTGTTTAAAAAAAAAAGAAAAATTCAACCCCTAAATCTCTCTTCCAAATTCTGCTCTATTTTATAACAGGTTACTAAAAGTGCTAGTACTTTGATTTTGTTCATCTTTTGGGTAGAGTCCACCAAATCATATTGTCTACAAAAAGTTGCATGTCCCCACTTAATAAATATATTTCTATTGATAACACAAAAAAAAAAACCTTGAGTCTCTCTTTTGTCAAGGCAACTTCCAACTGTCTGGCTGCAGTGCTCAATATTTGCACTTGAATAAACACTCTTTGAACTAGATTTCGACCTTCTGATTATTTTAGGTTGATATTTTCCTTCTATTAATCAGCCTTTTGTCAGTCAATTGTTCA